GTAGATATGAAGGGAGAAATACAGGGGTAGAATAGTGTATTACAAGATATGTTTCATTGGTTTCCCAAGAGCTCACTGAAGGGGTTGCATGTATGCACAACCAAGAGAGATAAGGGTCTCAAGAGAAGCAATAGCCCCCAAATGTGAGAGAATGTCTCACAGAGGTAAAAAAATGAGAGTGAAGAGCCTTTAATACCAAGATCTCCATGACATGAAGATGCAAGAGAGAGGATTGAGCCTGTTCTACTGTAACACTTGCTAAAAGTACAAATGCTTACAATCTTCAAAAATTGAGTTTTCATTTGTGTCTACATACATGTAAAATGATGACAGAACACATGTAATAGTAAAAGCATAATGGACAGCTGATCAAATAATAATATGAAAAGGTGAAGCAAATCCATGAGTTAATTGAAAATGCATTTGAAGTTGTAATATGAGAAGCAGAAACCAACAGTTCTTGTTATCAACATCAAACAGACACAATTATGATATAGAATGTTTATGATATCAGACACCAAACTTTATAAAAAAAATGAGTAGAGTAACTTTGGTGGGAGGCACCAAGTGGAAGAGTATGTGAAGAGACCAAAGTTATCCAATTCGTATCCATACATTCTGAGTTATTAAGCTTGAAATTCTATGCTGTTAACAACTAATGATTGTTGACAATTAGTAAACAGTTATGGTTTTGGTTTGGTGGAAGATACCAATCAAGTTGGAAGAATCACATGCAAATTTGGGTCAAATGAACCTTTTATGAGTTGCAATTATATTAAATAAACCACACCAGGATCCACAATACCCAAGATGGCAATTCGTCAAAGACTAGCAGAAATGTGTTGCACAAGTTCCTTGTAAGTAATTATTGCTATATCTGTCCATTCTATCAATGTATTCCATAAATGATGTATTATATCTGAAGATAGAACATTAATAAAGGATAACTCTGACACAGCTTTAGTAAGATTAATAGAAGAAATAATAGAACTGTCAAGAGACTTATTGGAAGAAGTATTAATTGAACTGGCTAAACATAACAATGTTGTAACGTATTTCATATATTAATTTAATTGATAACTTGTTTGGTATAGTTTCCATGTTGATGAATCTTGTGGATGGTTTAATCAACAAACAGTTGCTTGCTTAGAAGGAAGAATTTACTTCCATTTGAAGTAAAATTGTTTCATGATAATTTTGGAACTGTGAATATTGATGAATATCTGAATATTTTTATATAATGTTTTGTATGTTATTTTCATTATTTATCACTGATTCAATTCTTTATTTCATATGTAAATTTCCTCAAGTTGGTGCCTTGTGTGCTTATTAACCCATGAATGCATAATCTGGATTTAAATAGATTCATTTGTAACTTGTGTGAAGTTGAACCCAACAACTACACCTACTGGCCATCTGTTACATCAAGAAAATTTCAATGTGAACAAGATATTGAGTGGGATTCAAAATGGACTTGGAAAGTTTGGCCAGCCAGCCCAGGCAAAGTGCCTCTGGAAGAAGAATGGAGGTAGCAACTGCTGAATGTTTGTAAGAGGGAGATCAGTAGAAGCCAGTTGACCATAAGATAATGGAAATGAAAGTTCAAGAGAAATAGCATATGATCCAGTTGAAAACTTAAGGGGACTCTGATTAGGCCCAAGCAAATGGCTCAGAACTTAGAAACTTGTCTATTGTGGACAAAGCAGTGGAAATTACAGGACAGGGAACAAATGGGAATGTGAAGAAAAGCATTCTAAATGTAAACCATAATCATCCATAATCTGGGCAAGTGAGAGAGAGGACCAAATGCAGACTGAGAAAGCCATCCATCCAGAATCAAGGAATAGATTCAGAGATGACAGATCAGTGAGAGAAAGTGCCAATCTCTTGTCTTCTTAGGGATGACATAAAATTAAGAGTAAAATCTATGAGTGGGATGGGAGACTGGTTCCACCACCAACAGAGAGGCTACCATGTCCTGAAGATGTGAATTACCAA